GCCTCAGATGAGGAAGAGCCGACACTCCCGACGGAGGACTCCAGCCACCACCAGCTCGGGTGAAGGAGGGAGAGAGGTATGTTCGGCAACCCTCTCCTCGTGACCGCACCGCTCACCTCGTGCACCCGCCCTCTCTCGCCGGGCAGGCACTAGCCGGGTTGTCTCTCAGTCGCGGTCGGCCGTGACCGGCCACGCTGGATTGCCGCCGCGGATCCGGGTCAGCAAGGTCCAGACCCGTGCAATGTCCTTTCCGGTGGACACAGCAGGGTCTATCACGGGGTCCCGATGGCTGTTATCCCGCAGATGGCAGTGGATACGGAGCAGGTCGTCAGGAGCTCCGTATTAAGCGGCCTGTCCCGTCGCCATCTTGGACACGCCCCCCAATTTTTTCTATTCTATGTATTGAAACTCTTTATAGTTACATAGTTGGTAAGGTTGAATAAAGACACCAGTCCATCCAGTTCAACCTGTGTGGGTATGTGTGTGCTCATGTCAAATACTCATATCCCATATGTTGACTAAGATGCCCATCCAAGAGTTTTTGAAACTATCGATACTTCCCGCTGACACCACCAATTGTGGAAGGGAGTTCCACACCCTTACCACCCTGACAGTGAAAATCCCCATACTCAGTTTAACCTCCTTAGCGGTCTGATTATGTCCATATTTCTGTGGTCAAAGCGGTACATTTTTTTTCATGGAAATATGTTGTTTTTTTTATTGTAGGCCTGTAATTCTCAGGAATAACTCACTGAAATCTGTCCGAACAAGAGTCTAGTAAACATCCCAAGTATGATAAAACTTGAAACACAAAATCATAAATTATAATATAATAAATAATCACAAAACAAAATATAATAACAATAAATTTAATTCAATAATATAATCAAACCAAAAACACTGAAATGTGAAATAGAGCGCCAAGTTCACCCATCGCTGAGCTCAGTCGCAGAATCGTTTTCAGTGTCTGATGAAGAATTTCCCCCACGAATCATTATCACTCAATTCTGCAAGTGGTTCTGATTTACTATCGCTGTTCTCTAGCCGGTCTAAAACCGCTTTTGACCTAAAGGGACACTTTTTGGACGCCATGGACGTTTCTCAGTTTCCAGGCAGAAAGAACAGTAAAAATGCAGGCAGGGCGCCGGACAAAGCACTCGGGACAAAATGTATGTGAAATGGTTTGATACAGGAATGTTATACTATGTGATTGTAGTGTATTGAGTGGATGTCACATTTTTAAATTTTTTTAATTTCCCGCCAGTTCCGTCCCCCATACATCCCGTACGTTCCGACGCTCACAGGTCTCAGGGAATGGAACCCGGAAGACGGATGGCCTGGGACACTGCAGGGGGGACATCGCGGGGAGCGCAGGACTAGGTAAGTGCTGGAAGGAATCCCTGAGCAACGCTGAAGGGTAATCCTGAGTGTAGCTCGGGTTCACCGCTTTTGATACTAAAGTTAACCCCAAGCTACACTCCGGAATACCGCCGGGGGGTTAAGTCTAAACCTCTTTTCCTCCAATTTCATTGAGTGGCCCTGTGTCTTCCTATACTCCCTGAGACAGAATAGTTTACTCCTTATGCTAGAATCACCACTGAGGTATTTGTATATCGATATCATATCTTCTCTTAAGGGAGAATACTGTTAATGTTTGTAGTCTTTCCTTGTAACTTAGGTCACCCAGACCCCTTTGCAGTTCCTTTATGTCCCACAATTTATATATTTGTGCTCCTCTGGATGTGACACTAGTCCATTTCTGTTCAATACGATGAGAGGGAAGGTCAGTAAAGATGCCCCTGATATTTATCTATCTCCTTTCATTTTGAAAAGTACCAAGAAAAATTAATTCATTAACTAAAGGAGATTCGCAAACACAAGAGGCATGTTTTTAATGTTCATGAATGAACATGGAAAAGCTCAGTATGGAGCACTTTCATGTTCTGTAGCAAATAATGTTACAGTTGGAGTATCTACTGTCATCTCATGGTGACAGTGCTTTAAGAAAAAAAAGTGGTAAAAATAAAATAGTATTAAAATGAAAAAAAAAAAAAATAGTTCTTACACACATATACACAACTTGAAAATTATACATGCATAAGGTACAGTTTTGTGATTTTCACCAAAGGACCATAAATTAAAATAAGCAATTCAATAAAGTATTATACTTTAGATTTAGTGGAAATTTTGTACATTATGTTGTGTTGGTGTGCACTAATCATCATTTTATTTTATGTATTTTTACCAAAAATATTAGTTTAATAAAAATTTGCACAGCTATGTATAATTTTTTTTTTTAATCAGACCTGTGCTCCTGTGCTTTTGGAAAATGCATAGTTTTCTGGGTCTTTTACAAACTCCTAAACCGTTAAGAGAAAATTATAAAAAAATTAACAAATTCTAAATTAGTCTGGCCACCTAAGTTTAAAAAATGAAGAGCAGGGATAAAACATGGGCAATTGTGCATGTACGGTATGTAAGTATGTATCAAACAATACCCAGGAATGACTTTAACATCTTCACCTTTTCACTTGTATATCCCATATAGGTCAGAGTCCATTTTACATGCTATGCCATTTATTATTATTATTATTATTATTATTATTATTATTATACAGGGTTTATATAGTGTCAACAGTTAACTCAGTGCTTTACAATACAAATAGAGACAGTACAGCTACAATCCAATAAAATACAAGAGGGTTAAGAGGGCCTTGCTCATAAGACCTTACAATCTAATAAGGTGGGCCAAGTGGTACAAAAAATGATAGCTGTGGGGGATGAACTGATGGAAGAGTTAAAACTTAATTTGCCTGTTGGAGGCAGGATAGGCTTCCATGAGGAGATAAGTTTTCAGGGATCATCTAAAGGGATAGCCGGACAGATTGAAGTAGAGAGTTCCAGAAGATTGGGAGAAGCTCTGGAGAAGTCCTGGGGACAAGCATGGGAGGAGGAGACAAGGGAGCAAGAGTGCAGGAGGTCTTGGGACAAGTAGAGAGGATGGTTTGGGTAATATTTGAAGACAGGATTGGTGATGTAGTTTGGGGCAGAGATGTAGATGGCTTTGTATGTTGCTGTTAATGATTTTAATTTTATTTGTAGGGCAATGGGAAGCCAGTGGAGGGATTGGCAGAGGAGGGTGGTGGACACTGAATGTTTGGTAAGTTGGAGGAGTCTGGCAGCAGCATTCATGATAGACTGAAGAGGGCATAGCATGCAAAGAGGTAAGTCTATGAGGAGGGAGTTACAATAGTCAAGGTGAGAGATAACAAAGTAGTGAATAAGTTGCTTAGTGGTTTCAGTGGTTAAAAAGGGGTACATTTTAGAGATGTTACAGAAGCGAAGTCTAAAAGCATTTGACAGCGAATGGATTTAGGGCCAAAATGACACATTGAAGTCTAGGATTATACCCAGAACCCTGGAATGAGAGAAGGGACTGATATTTGTATTAGTGATCTTTAATGAAAAGTCATGGAGGAGGACAAGAGCCAGGGTGAATATTTCCATCTCGGTTTTAGAAATATTTGGTTTGATGAAGTATGACATCCATGTTGATATGTCAGTTAATAAATTACTAATGAAAGGGGAGACTGAAGGAATGAGGAGAGGAGTAGAGAGATAGATTTGGGTGTCATCAGTGTACAGGTGGTATTGAAAGCTGTGGGAGGTTATCAAGTGACCAAGAGAGATGGTGTAGATAGAGAAGGGGTCCAAGAACAGAGCCTAGGAGGACCCCTACATAAAGAGGAAGTGGAGAGGAGAGGAAACAGAGTAGTAGGTAACACTGAAGAAACACTGTGGCAGATAGGAGGAGAACCAGATCAGAGCATAAACTTGGAGACCAAGGGAGTGGAGTTTATTTAGGAGGAGTGGGTAGTTAAGAGTATCAAAGTAAATCATTAGTGAGTTTTAGCAGGGTAGTTTCTGTAGAGTGCTGCAAGTGAAAGCCAGACTGTAAGGGGTCAAGATGTTTGTTTTGAGGGAGGTAGGAGCTCAGACAGTTGTAGACTAAGCGTTCTAAATGTTTAGAGGTGAATGGGAGCAAGCAGATAGGTCCTAGGTTGTTTAGGTTGGTGGAGTCCAGTGAAGGCTTTTTAAGAATGGGGGTGATATGTGCATGCTTTAGTGGGGAGGGGAAGGTGCCAGTAGAGAAGGAGAGATTGAGTATGGGAGGGAGGGAGCAAAGGATGGAAGAAGAGCGTGACCATAGTAGGTGTCGAAGGAAAAAAAAATCCAAGGGACAATAAGTTAGGTGGGCATCTGAGAAAAGTTTGGTAACCTCTTCAGTATTAGCCGGGTCAAAGAAGGAAAGTGTTGAATGTGGTGTTAATATTGCAAAGAGTAGGTGCAGCGCTGAGATCAAAATAATCAAAATACAATAAAGTGCAATAAGTCCAACAGACGCAAAGTTATTCATAAACCAGCAGACATCATTAATTATATCACTCTTCAACTGTTATCTGTAAAGTGAAAATAGTGCTAATAAAGTGACAAGAAAAATGGTATTGGCAAGTTCATAAAGTGACAAAGTGTAAAATATAAGGTATTGCTACACAAAGTGGCTAATAGTGCTATTAAGGTGACAAAGTCCACAATTATTAATAGACGTGAAGATCCAACATAAGATCTCAGGTCATCATGATCCACTTCCTATCTTCCGGTGATATGTCAGATAATAGAAAAAGTGCGCACTCACCAGATGCGCAATATCATCAAGCATATGAGAACACAATTTCTCAGTAGGTCAGCTGGATCCTCTTAAGGACATCTACAGCCTGGTATGGACTCCATGGACTGGTATGGATTTCTCAGCTCAGCGGCTACCACAGGAGATTCACTTAACATTAACGCGCTGAGGTCACTTCCGCCTCTTCCAGCAGGGGTGGTTAGTTAGGGTATGTTAAGTTTCATGTTGTGAACCGGTCCCTAGTGCAGAGGGTTTGCCTATTACTCTTAAGTATTTTGTAAAAATGTAAAGGTATTATAAATTAGTAACAATGTTACCCTTTACTGAAATGCGTGTTCAAAAAGTTGTGGATGATTTTGCCAAAAGCGTTTTTTAGTTCTTGATTCCTCAGACTGTATATAAGCGGGTTTATCATTGGTGTGAATACAGTGTACAGTAATGATAAGAGTTTTGTAATTATTCTTGTCTGTCCTCTATTAGGTACCAAATAAACACACGCTAGGGTACCATAATAAATGCAAACCACAGTCAGGTGGGAGCTGCATGTTGAGAAAACTTTCTGTCTTCCAGTAATAGATGGGATTTTAAAAATAGTAGATATAATATACGCATATGATACAATGATAATGGAGAACGGGATGATAGCAAATATAACACTCAAAATTTTCACTTCAAATTGAGCAGCAGTGGTGTCTGAGCAGGAGAGCTCTAAGATCGGATCGAAGTCACAGAAAAAGTGATCAATAACATGAGGGCCACAAAACTGTAATTTTGATATGGTTACATTGTAAATCAAAGCTACACACATACCCGAAATCCAGCATATTATAACAAGAATCCAGCAAACCTGGTAGTTCATTTTCAAAGTATAATGTAATGGTTTACAGATGGCCAAATATCTGTCCCAACTCATCACCGTCAGAAGAAGACACTCTGAAGGTTCTATGATGACAAAGACATAAAACTGAGCGAGGCAACCAGAAAACGACATGATAGTTTCTTTTACCAAAACAGTGCTCATCATGTTTGGAAGAATGTTAGTCGCTAGGAAGATATCTAATACAGAGAGCTGGGAGAGGAAGAAGTACATGGGAGAATGAAGGGTTCTGCTGTAGGACACCAGTGTGATGATCAGGAGGTTTCCACATATTGTCACACAATAAAGCAGAAGCAAAAGAAAAAACACTAAAAGTGTAATACTTTGAGGAATCTGAAATCCTAACAGGAGAATGGTTGTAATTCTGGTCGCATTTGTTTTATCCATTTTGCTGAAGGCAGAAGATTACCAATTGGCAAACCTGCCTTGTATGACTGATGCAAATTATGTAATTAAATCATGGAAGAAAGGATTGATTTATTCTCATTTTATTGGAATGAGTGCGAGGCAAAAAATTGATTCTGATTGGTCAATATGAGTTGCATCACATGATTGTTGAACAGATTCAAAATAAGTTGCATCATGTTGGCTAGGATTAGATATTTAATTCTATAAAATTCAATCTACTTTGATGGTAAAAAGATCAAAGCATTATCAAAAGCCAGACAAAAATATTGGCAATACAAAATTTAAGAAAGTACTGAAAAAAGAGATATAACACTCCAAAATATTGCATTTAAAGTATATTTATCAGCCTTTCCTAGGTAGGATTTCTTTGTTTCTTCCCTTTTCATGTGCAAATCTATAAGCATAGTGCTGGGAAAAACTTGAAAAGTGCCTTTATAGAGAATGAATCAAGAAAGCTTAGATTAGCAGGAGATGCTGTTCCTGGTTTGAAGATGTATTTTTTTTGATACAGAGAAACTTGCCTTTTATAACTAACTAGAATTAATTACATGGAGGCACTGGGGATGTGTAGTGACTGTTGATATTGTCAAGGGATTCTTTTTTTCTCAGAAGGAAATTATTTCTTAATGGCTTTATTTAAGTAACAAACTCTGTTTATTGTCAGTAGGTTAAGCCATCAGTGTGCAGTAAAAACACTGTATATTGAGTTATACAACTCTGATTTGTAGGAATTAAATCACAATATTTAGTTTTTATTGTTTGTATTGGTTTGCTGTCTTAATTGGACAACTTCTATGTTTTATTTTTATCAATTAGCAAAATGGAAAGCGAATGAACAGAAGAGAAATCCAAATCAAATCAATATTTGGTGTGACCGCCCTTTTCCTTCAAAACTGCATCAATTCATCTAGGTAGACTTGCACACAGTTTTTGAAGGAACTCAGTAGGTAGGTTGTTACAAATATCTTGGAGAACTAAACACAGATCTTCTGTGGATGTAGGCTGCCTCAAATCCTTCTGTCTCTTCATGTAATCCCAGACACAATCAATAATGTTGAGATCAGGGCTTTGTGGGGAGTCAAACCACTTCCAGGACTTGTTCATCTTTACGTTGAAGATAGTTCTTAGTGACATTGGCTGTATGTTTGAAGTGGTTTTCCTGCTGCACAATAAATTTGAGACCTACCTGATGGTATGGCATGATGGATAAGTATCTGCCTGTATTTCTCAGCATTGAGGACACCATAGATCCTGACCAAATCTCCAACTGCATTTGCAAAAATGTAGCCCCAACTTGCATGGAACCTCCACCATTCATGGTTGACCTGCAAATGTCGCCAGTCCTCACTTTGGCATTTTTGTGGAATGACAGCATTTGAAGGCCACCGGGGACAAATATAAGGTCATGCAATAGTAGAATTAGGTGTCTATTATATCTAAAAATGGCAGTTGTCTGAGGGGTTTATTTTAAGAACAAAAAGAATGCAGCTAGGAAGTAGCAATATGTACTAGGTGAATGGGGCATTAAATGATAAGTCCTGTGAACTGGGGGTAGGCAGCAGGAATATATGCTTCCTGGACAGGGGCGGACTGACAACTCATGGGGCCCCCGGGCAATAGGGGATCATGAGGCCCCTGTGTCCTTGCCCAAACTCAAAAAAGCCTATGAAAAAGGTACCAGGGGCATCTCATGGGGCCCCCTACTGACCCTGAGCCCTCGGGCACATGCCCTAGTTTCCAAATGGTCAGTCCACCCCTGATCCTGGAGTAAGTCTTTCAGGCACAGATACCAAATTCAGTGAGATTAGTGGCACACAGTGAAGGTGTTTGTCAGTGCTATTTACAAAAGACTATATGCAAAGTGCTATACAGTGTTTAACCAAAATAAACAGGGCAGGAAAATATAAAAAAAAAAAAAAACCTAGCCATGTCGTGGCTCTCACTCCACAGTAATGCAGGTCCTAATGTCAAGGATCTACCTTTTCCCAGAGATTGTGCGGCTTCATGTGCTGGCGTCCATCTTGGGTTTCTGCAGAGCATGGTGGGACTCTTTTATGCCTTCAGGTCTCTGAGGTCCATCCCCCAGAGGGGTGTGGCTGAGTACATATAAGCCTGTTATCCGCACATGCTCTTTGCACTTGTGTCTTGTGTATTTGTGTTGCTACAGTTCTGTTCATACTCTCGTGACTCTTCTGGAATCTGACTCGGCTTGTGACTAGACCATTCTCTGTGTTTTCCTTTGATCTGACCTTGCGTTGCTGAACTCGGCCCGTGACCTGTGATTCTCGTCTACTGCTCTGTACCGTTTTGTCCTGTTGTTGTCGACCCGGCCTGCCTGACTAAGCTATTTTCATTCCTACCAGCTACACGCCATTGGCGGCGGCCATTACCGCAGCCGGGGTGTCTCGGAGGCCGCGACCTGGTTCCTGGCTGCGTCAAGTCCATCCCCACCATCAGGGGCCCTGGTGAAGGGCAGCCTGGGACTTAGACTCCGCGCCCTGAGGGACTTCGGCCTGTTGGTGGTGGTTGTCGTCAGTCAGTGCGTTACCCTGCCACTAGGTCTACCTGTCCGTTCCACAGCCCTGCCCTGACACCTAACTAACAGACTGATCAAGCCTACCACTTGTCAGCCACAACATACACAGCTAGTGAGTTTCCACCAACCTTTCAGCTCTCCAGACAGGACTTGTCCGATCCCCATCAATAATATTAAAAAGGGTACACCAAGGGCATCTATAGCCAATGCAGGGAAGATATGAAGTATAATTGATCATGCATATACAGGCTGCCAAATGATTGCTGTCTCCAAATCAATCTTGGGTGTGGTCACCGAAACTTATAAACTAACAAGTAAGTAGAAAAAGGGTAAGAGGTACCCCTAAAAGAAAGTTTCATAAGGGACCATGCAGCTTATCAAAAAATGGCTTTTAATGAAAAAAGTATATATGCTTAACACCAATAACATACAAGGTGAGTAAACATTGACTAATCACCAAAGCAGCTGCTCATACGGCCACACACAAACATACATGGAGTTCTGCAAAATGGCCATTGTCCATAATTGATCCACACACACTATATAAGCATTCTGTTATCTGCCCTCTACCATCCCTCTGATGAAGTCACGTGGGCGTGATGTAATATGTATTATGTAATATGTAAGGGGCGTGGCTCTGGGTGAATAGTGAATTCAGCTGACAACAAGTGAAGCCAGCATCTGATGATTTTATGGCATTTTAGTCATTTATTACATGTGAGTGTATTACTGCTTCTTAATAAATTTATATGCTAGTACATACCGCATTATGGGAGTGTTCTTTGTTCTTTTCTGAGGATAGGAATGTGTGACCCCCATTACCCTTAAAGGGACTGATCCCTGGCTCTGGTTTGCCAATCTATTGAAAGCTCAAAGGTGTCTGATTACTAGCACAAGGTTGTGGATTGAAAAAGTGAAGAATCCTTCTGTCTATTTGATATTACAAAGCGCATTTCCATGTGCTCTGAGGTGGGAGTTCTGTGAGCACTGAGGTGGTACTATATGTATTATGTACACTGTTTCACTTGATGGTGTTTGGGATACCAGCACAAGAAAAAAGCACATAAATTATAGAAGAATTTTTATTGCATATATAAATTGATTTCACATTTATGGACTTATGGATGTTTTATTCAGTTATGTCACTTTTTCATTTTTGTAGCTTTATATTGCAGCGCTACATCACTTATTAATTTTAATGTGCAACACTCAATTATACTGTCCTTCAAGCTGCAACTTGGTTGAAACCTATCTATGGGATTGTTTAAGTGGGATCTCCCATTGGTGCTGGACTTGCTTGCATCAAATGCCTTCAATCAAAGTGGCCCTTTGCAGTACCTCTCGCTGAAAACTGCTTTCCTGGTGGCAATTACATCACCCAGAAGAGTGTCTGTAATAGTGGTCCTGGGGTTTAAAGAACCCTTTCTTTTTTAAAATATTTTTTTTTGTATTAACAATTTTTATTGGTTTTCATATATATATGTATACAAACAGTGAATTGAAAAAAGAACACAGGAGAAAGAGGGAGCACATCGATGGCAAAATCTGCATGGTTACAAACATAATGTCACATAGCAACAGTGGAGAGGCCATCAGAACCATACATTTAGAGAAAGGTGGGAGGAGGTGAAATTATCCCATGGGTGCCAC